CTAAGCCAAAGCTCACGTGTGCAGCCGCTATAAAGTGACTGGACCCAATCGAGAATCGGTGGTTTGTGTTCCTCTGCGACCTACTGAATTGTACTTGAGTGGGAAGTCATTTATCCACCCACAGGATACACCGTAGTGAGTTGCTCAGTGATTAGAGATGTGCCGAACATAGTCTCCCAGTCTGCCAGGTCGGAACAATCACAGTGACTTGTCTCTTAAAGACACTTGTATATGTGTAGTATAGCCAGAGAGGGTTGGTGCGCTGACATTAGACAAATTTCGTACACAAACATGCCAGTCAGAACCGAATATTGTATCATGCCACATTCTGAGTAACCAGCCTGATCGCCTTACTTGCCTCATACAGAGAGACGGCTAAGAGAACCCATGCTCCAGCTGATTGCCCTCGTGCACACTCTCCGTTTTCCCTCCGCAAATCTACCTCACTATGATTCATATATTCTGTTTAAAGGACCCATGTTAGTACTGACAGCTTATTTTGCCCTGAATTATGCCCAGCTGCAGCTCGGTTCGTCCGAATTCCCAACGGAATTTGAGCGCACGGAAGTTTGTTTTATTTCTACAAAGACTACAAACTTCGTTTAATATTCGTACTCTGAGACCAGCTCTTGCACCCACACTAAATTCCTTCTCTATTGATGCGTGCTGTCTGTTAAAAAATCAAGTATACAAGTTGTGCAGCTGAAATGACCGCTCTTTAGCTCTCTTTTTGCTTTCAGCCACACAAATCGGCTGACATACAGGTAACTACAAATGGATATGTCGGCGAAGGTAATGTGTTCAGATATCGGGCAGGGGCTTCCTCACTCAACTGCATACGTGCTGATAGTCGTCTCCGCGATGATCGTTCGGTAAGTCCAGCGTAAGAACTTTCAGAGTGCGAGGCGGTTTGCTCTCCATCTATTGCACTTGTCTCCGACGGCCTACAGCCTCCAAACGGTCAACGGCAGTTTCTATGACGCTGCATGTGCTCTTCTACAATGGCCTAGAAGCTCACCCCTCATTGTGTTTGCCTCCGACGAAGACTGCCCTGGTGGTCCCGAGGCTCAGTTAGATGGCTATTCTGCGATGGTCGCGAAACGCGCGAGGAACAGAGATGGGCAATTTCAGATTCATGCCGATAGCAGACTGCTTCTTTGCAGTGTCCATTTCCCGAAGTGCAACTTGATAACTTAAAGCCCATAATCGAACCAGGCACGGAATCACATCTTCGTCACCTAAGCCTGGCGAGGTTGGATGTTTGCCTGTCGCCCAGTTTGGGATATCCACGTGAAATGCCACTATACACTTTTCCGTTGCTGATTACCTCTGCGCTTTTCCAGCCTACACAAAAGGCGCAGACCTCCTTTGGCCACTGAAAGGTTCATGGACCTAGCAGTCCTCCAAAGCTCTCAGACTTAACTGACTCATGACCAACGAATGGTCCGAAGTCACATTATGCGTTTCAAATTTCAGCAACGCGCATCAAACTACTGGGTCTCTGATAGGACCGTGGCTTTCCCGGAGGCTTGGAGACAGCTTAGTCAAGACCGTCGCCACAGTCCAACCCGACGCGTCATCCGACGTGAGATGGAACAGTGTGTTCGCACGGACCATTAAGGCTGATGAATTCTAAAGGCCGAAGAAGTGGGCGAAGCAAGACTCCCAGGAAACTCTGCAGACCGTTCAGCTGGATTCTCTGGACTGTCCATCAGAAGCCTCGTATCGGTGAAATCATCAGGGGAAAGAATGGCTCTCTGCTATCTAACAGAGAGGAGCGTTTGGACCATGGGGCACAGTAATTCAAACAAGGATTCTGTTGGTCACCCGATAAAACTAATCCACGATTTTAGCCACCAACAGAGAAGTGGATTATGCTTGTGAAGCTACAGCAATGTCGGAGGTGTCTGACTGCATATCTTTACTCAGATTTCCTTACGCTCCTCATTCAAGAGACCTTTCATCTCAGTAGGTGAACGCTGAAGTGACTTTAAAATATGGATGTCCAATCCGTTGGCAGTGAGTGCACAGTCAACATCGTCATTGTCTTAGGAACGAAGGCTAAAAACAAACTCTGCTGAATAAGCTGAACACTACTTTATACAATGTTTTGACGTGCGAGTTGGAAATACAAAATGCATCTCTCTGATCGATAGCGTGCAGCTTCCGGGAATGTTCTTCGGAATTCTCCGAGGAGCAGTGAAAAATGTTGCCCACATCGGTAGTTGTAACAGCTCTGACGGGAACTTTCGAGTTTATTGCAATCAACTCCGTTGACGCGGCATTGTGCTATGAATGTCAACACATCGCTTACTGAGACGAGTGTTTGCCGCGCCTTATTCCAACAGCACAAACTGCGGGATGGGCGACGCGTGATATGATGAAAGTGTGTGAAAGAGATCACTAAGAGTGGGAGCTGTGTTGGTGCAACAATTTTTTTCGTGAAAGGGGACTCCCACGACCACTTCCATGCGCCTGGCCGTAGGAAGAACGAAAAATAAGGCCTAGCCAATGTCGATGACGATTTTGCTGTCAGTGTCCTTCCAGTTTGGTCACTTGAAGAGGTTTGAGCACATTAGGAGGGGTTCTAACATGTTGGCTAAAGATCCCGCCCTCCTTCATTCAGTTTTCCTTCTCTTTAGCTGCAAATAACTAGGCATTATGGTTGCACACCAGTGAAGCATCGGCGTCAACATTGATGTCGCTATCTCTAGTGATGATGATCGTCATTGTGGTTAGATGTGCGAGTCGCAGAAACTGATGAAAGATAGTTTCCTAATGTCTTCCCGTTTTGGCTGAATAAATGCTCCGATGACAGAATAGGGGTAGGCACAAACGTGTGCTGCTTGGTGAAGTATATCATTTTTGGCTTGTTCATCGGTGAGGTTTGGTTAAGAGAACTTCAACCCCACTAAGATGACACCATTTTCTGCTACTGATAGATTTCTTTGTTACTTCTAAAATGTTGAATAACGGTCCGTCTTTTGGATTACGTGGCAACCCTTTTTGCCTCCAATCGGATTGGCATGTTACAGCGAAAGCCGTCGTGTCTGGATGGTCCGTCTACTGCAAAGCTCAATTTACTCCAATGTTTCAAATGACCACATCTATTTCAAACCAAATTGTGATATTAAAAAGTCCCAAGTGTCCGGCTTACTTTCGTAGTACTTCACGACTTTCTTAATGGTATAGCCTGAAAATGATTACACAAGTAAATGCGTTAGAATTTTCCGACGGATTCAGTGCGTTGCAGAAAGAAATGGCTCGCATTTTTCTTGGAAGTACGTTTGCCAATCTAGGTCGTATTTAGGTCCCAGAACGAGACTGCAGTTCACTCTAACCGGCCAAACTTGACAGTTACCTAAGGATATTGGAAACTCTGCACTACATGTGTCATCTCAAACTTGACGATGAACAACAGCTATCCCCGCGCCTACTCGTAGTCATTCCTGGATATTTACAACAATGTATTACTCAGCTAATCCGTGTTGTTTGTTGGATACATCATGTTTCATTGATGGTTGCCAAGAGCGCGTTACAAACAAGTAAGTGGTTTTCCCATTTACCGAGTATTTTGCTGTCCGGCGATTAAAAGGATTAGCCCCACTGCTTAACCAAGGGGACATTGCTAATGTGGTGAAATATAGGTAGCTCGGGGGAGTTTATTGGTTGGTGATCAGATGGCTGTTGATCTGTTCGCCGCGTCACTGTAAAATCTCAAGTAGTTGGTGGATTCGAAAACGAAAATATGTTAACTATCCGTGGAATACCTGATAACAGCGACTTACCTGCATCAAACTTTAACATTACGTCTGTACTATTAACGATCGCTTCTGAAAGCAGGTATACGCAGAAACAATGCAAAAAAGGGGCAGCGATGAAAAGGTAATATGACAGAAAGCAAGGTCACTTTGTTGGTTGTTGATCAGATGGCTGTTGATCTGTTCGCCGAGCTTGGCGATTGGCTTGCAAACCTTCCGTCACCATACGAGGAGACATCATCAGCGCGCAGTTGGGTGGGTACTTCTTCCTTGCCCGCGTGTGTTTATATAGCAGTCAAAAGCTGTGTTATCTTCTGACGTGATTGGCTACCTGGAGTGTAACGAATCTAGTGAATCTATTGGTCCGTTTGTGATCCTTGTTGCGTTGTGGTCTGTGTTTCTTTGTGTTGATTGGTTATCCCAACGGCTTCCAATTTAATAGCTTGTTCTCCCTGGCCTTGATTCGAATTGCTTTGTGGTCTGCCGGTCTCGAGTTTGATTGGTTGCTTGTACTGCCCTATTTCCTCCACCGTGGCGGTTAGTGTCCCGGCGTCCGCCGGTTGATTTGGTGCTTTGATTAGGCGCCTCCTCCAATCCAATTGATGTGTCCGTTTGAATGACTCTTTCTTGCTTCTTGTATGAGTTCCTCGTATGGTCTGTGGTTTTGGCGTTCTCTCGCTCTAAGTGGCTGGTAAATGGGATCAATGTCGATGTGTTTGTTGATGGCTTCTTCGGTGGACTGCCACGCCTCCATAAATTCGCGTTCTCGTTTTTTTCTTGCTTGAGCCAGTATGCGAACGCCGTTCCAGTCGAACTCGTGTCCTTCTTGGTCTTTGTCTGGGGGGGAAGGACAATTGATCGTACCTTTGGTGGCGAGTTTGTGTTCATGTATTCTGGTGGAGAGCTTCCTTCCTGTTTCTCCTACGTACCGTTTGTCGCAGTCCTTGCATTGGATCACGTATATGACATTGTTCGTCGCGATTGGATCTAATTTCCACTTTGGTCTTAATAGTGCCCTCCGCAGAGTATTCGTAGGCTTACAGGCAACCATTGTGTTGTGCTGTCGTAGGAGCCTTGCCGTCATTTCAGCGGTGTTCTTGACGTACGGAAGTGTGACGCGTTTGCTTCTAGTTTGTCCTGTTGCATCGATCGTATTTGGCTTGTTGAGTGTTCTCCAGATGAAATTCCTGCGGTATCCACTTTCTGAAACAATTTATATGGGCGCTTTTCTTCTTTGATCTAGGATTCTGTTGTACTGCAGTGTATCGCGATCCGCTTGAAAAGTGTCCGAATGCAGCCTCGTTTGTGGCAATTTGGATGGTTGCTGTGGTGGCAAAAGATTTGGTCCTTATGTATAGCCTTTCTGAAGACCTCCGTTTGTAGTTGTTCGTCCGGCAATCTAGAGATGAGAATGTCGAGGGACGCAAGTTTTCCGTTGTTTTCTTCCCCGGTTGTGAATTTGATATCGTCGAAAACATTGTTTAACATGTATCGTCCACGTAAAGGATCCCCCAGACAAAGACCAAGAAGGACACGAACGCAAGTTTTGTTTTCTTCCCCGGTTGTGAATTTGATATCGTCGAAAACATTGTTTAACATGTATCGTCCACGTAAAGGATCCCCCAGACCAGACACAAGAAGGACACGAGTTCGACTGGAACGGCGTTCGCATACTGGCTCAAGCAAGAAAAAAACGAGAACGCGAATTTATGGAGGCGTGGCAGTCCACCGAAGAAGCCATCAACAAACACATCGACATTGATCCCATTTACCAGCCACTTAGAGCGAGAGAACGCCAAAACCACAGACCATACGAGGAACTCATACAAGAAGCAAGAAAGAGTCATTCAAACGGACACATCAATTGGATTGGAGGAGGCGCCTAATCAAAGCACCAAATCAACCGGCGGACGCCGGGACACTAACCGCCACGGTGGAGGAAATAGGGCAGTACAAGCAACCAATCAAACTCGAGACCGGCAGACCACAAAGCAATTCGAATCAAGGCCAGGGAGAACAAGCTATTAAATTGGAAGCCGTTGGGATAACCAATCAACACAAAGAAACACAGACCACAACGCAACAAGGATCACAAACGGACCAATAGATTCACTAGATTCGTTACACTCCAGGCAGACAATCACGTCAGAAGATAACACAGCTTTTGACTGCTATATAAACACACGCGGGCAAGGAAGAAGTACCCACCCAACTGCGCGCTGATGATGTCTCCTCGTATGGTGACGGAA